TAAATGACAACTCATAAATTCCCTCTTTGTGTCACAGGAGTTCCCGGTCTTCGTCATACAGTAGTCGCAGAAGCAGCAGAAGTGGAAGCAAAAGCAGTCGCACAAGTCTGCCCAGCAGGAGCAGCAGATCGCGTTCCTCCTCACACTCTCCGTCTCCGGGCCGGCGGAGGGGGAACCATAGGCTGGCTCCAGGTGAGGGCAGGAGAGAGGGGGAGGGGGAGACCTGTGTTTGTTGAAGAATTTGCGAGACCCAGGCTAGGACTGGTACTTCATAATAGAAATGTATTATGCATTACGTCTATTAAACAGTGCTAGCAATCTTATTTCTACTTTATTTATGTATTGTTGTATCAGCACTATTTTGAAAATATTAATTCTTTTGTTAGTTTCATATCTGTTCCCTTATTTATAACTCCAGGCTCCAGGGCTAGTGATAAGTCTGGCATGAGACAGCTCCCAGTGGGAGGGAGGGGAGGAGGGAGACCCCCCATGGGCCCCACCGGACCCCACAACAGACCACCTTCTCCCCGCAGAGCAGAACCCAGGGACCCCAGGTCAGTTCCTGGTCCTTCTTCATTATCACTCTGATAGACTTGGTCTTCTTTACTTAGTTGCCCAAACTCCATCTTGGTCGAAGCTGCATTTCTCCTGTCCAAAAGTGATCTTTTTGATGTCATGCTTTGCCAACATTATTAGTCGGAATGTTGCATAGTTTCAATTTGGTTGAATAGTGGCAGTGTTATGATTGAATGACTTACACACTTGCAAAGCAGATGAAAAAAGGGTGAATGTCAGTAGGATCTGGTTATTTAGACAAGAAAACTTCTCGGTTGTCGAAGGGCAGACCGAGGAGGAAAATGCAGCAGACTTTCCTGAATGTGAATTATCCCAAAATGTGTGCTGTTTCCCAGGAGGTTTGCAAAAGACCAACAGACTTCATTTTTCAGGCCACCCATCCCCAGGAGGCCCAAAGAAAGACCGGACGTGGCAGACAGGTGCGTAATGTTCCTCTTTTAGATCACAGATATCTTCATCTTCTACAGAATATTGTACTTATCTCTGAATATCTTTTTTCTTATCTCCTATCTCTTTTATATCTTGATTCATAATACATTTGAGTGCTCTTAAAATTTGGGTTTTGCATGGTTCATGAGATAGTTGGGGACGGACTAAACATGGTTTTGCTTGTAGTGCAAACTATTTATTTTCCTCTCTCTGTTATTTTGATAAGGTTTTGCATGTCCCACTTGTGTTATATTTTCTTAACCTATATCTCACACAAAATCTAAGACCTCTGCTTTGCATTGTCAGATTTTATCATTAAGAGGCAAAAAGAGCGTATAGTACCTTGTACCGATTGAACTCACATGATCAGGTTTTACTTGAACCTGAAATTTTATTTTTCATATATCTGCTATTATTTCTACTGCAGTCACTTTCAAAAGTTCCTGATGTCTCAAAAAAAAATTGATTAAAAATGGGTTCCAATAATTTCTTTCTTCAGGCTCTCAGGAAGCCTTTTAGTATTCTGTACATTTCTGTGTCATGTTAATGTATTTACCACGTAATAGCCCCCTGTTGAACCTGAGCCTTGAACTAGAGGTCAGGTGGAACAAGGCATCAGGTATTCATGCTGCTTTGTGCACAACACTTCACAATTTTTTTTTCAATTGTGTTTCTGGGTGCATGGGAGATACTACTAGCCTATGGATTTGGGTGGCTTTTCAATTTTAGTGAAATACCAGTTATTGGAAAAGGGATGAAGCGTTTGAATTTTTATCACCATAATTGGACATGGTTTTTGGGTTGTTTCCAGTGCGACTCTTGTCCTTGTAGCATTTCACAAAGATTTTGGTGCCTGTAGTGGGAACCTTAATTCTAGTCCCTTGCCTCCTCCCACCCTCCCTGTTCCCATCCTATTCTTCCTTTCTTACTCCTTTCCTCTCTGATTTCTTTCATTCCACTGAATCTATACATGTTCCCTTCATTTTCTCCCTTTTTTCCTGTCTCTACACTCCTTCCCTCTCTCACTCTCCCCTTTCCACTACCCCTTCTCTCTCTCTCTCTCTCTCTCTCTCTCTCTCTCTCTCTCTCTCTCTCTCTCTCTTTTTCTTTTTCTTTCTCTCTCCCCCCTCCCCCCTCTCCATTTCCCATCCTGTATCCCTTTTTGCCTTCATCCCTCTTCCTACCTCTCTTTCTACCTCCCTCCTTCCCTCCCTGTCCCGATCCCATCCCCCCTGCATGCTCTCCCTCCCTCTGTCCCGACCACCTTGGCTGAACACTTCTTGTCTCCGGTTCCTCCCTCAGGGCGCTTGCACCGCGCAGACCTGAACCCAGACCTAACAAGATGGACCCCAAAGAGAGGTTTGTGGTTTGATTCTTTTGCTGTTGCTTCAATGCCCTTGGGTATGGTCTCTGCAGGCCAGAGAGGCTCTTCTGTTGCCCCGTGCCAGGAGTCTCTGTGGGAGCAATAGTTTTAGCATTGGTGGCAGCATTATCAGTAGTACTATTAGCATTATTGTTGGTGGTAGTATTACTGATATTGTTATTTCACTGTTGTCATCAGTATGTGTGTAATTTTTATTATATTTTATTACTATCATTTTCTTTGCTTCTGTTACTTCAATATCATCATTTTCATTCTGATTATTGCTATGTTTTCTTCATTACTGCTTCCTCCTCCTCATCTGCTGTCTGTATTTTGTAAGAACATTCTATTTTTTTAGATAATGTACATACATCCTTATGTTATCTGTGTTTTGTTTATTTCTCCTTGTTCATATTTCTTGTGACTTTCACTTCTTAAGTTCTGTTACAAAAATCATCAAGACAGTGCTGTTTTCCCTTTTCCCTTAAGAGTCAGACTCAATGTAAATAACTTGTGCACCCAGAAGTGGATGCAAACCTCCATGTATGTCTTATCAATGTGAAAAGGTATTAATGGATATTAATGGCCTTTCAAGCATTTTATTGGTACATCCTTGTGGTGCTGTGGATGGTAGCTTCTGAGGAAGTAGGTTCATTGGTCCTTGATGGTTCTTGGTAGGTAGGAGAGGGTCAAGGAGGTGTATGTAGCAAGGAAAAATTCAATGAGAATAAAACATGCAGAGAAGCTTGTTGAATGATACCCAGCAAAAAATTTGCAGTGAATATACAAGTATATAGCATGGAAGAATATACATGTAGACAGTCAGAAGATTGGAAGTGAAGTGGTCAGAGAACATTAACCCCTTGGTGCCGGGTGACACCGATCGGCGTGTAAACAAAGAGTCTCGAAAGCTGGCATGCAGCCGAAAGAGCCGGCGGGGCGCCAAAGCGCAGCGAGCCAGTGATTCAGGCTGATGTCCCCTACTCACGCGCTCAAAGTCGGCGCGCCGCCTTTGTTTGTTTAAGCGTAGAGTTTTTTATTGTTTTGTACACCCGGCACCATTGGGTTAAAAGGAAGTAATATCTTCAAACAGTTAAAGTTAATTAGGTATCTTAAGGTTTTCAACCATTGGTCTTTACCTTGTTCAATACTGTTACTAACAGGCCGTGTGTACAAGTGTCATAATGTACCACTTGGTCTGCGGGGTGTGGCTGTGCGTGCAGAGACACAGCAGAACATGTGGAGAGGGAAGTTCTGCCCCCTGCCCCAGTGTCTGGGCATTGCCAGAAATCACCAGAGTTTATGACGCTCAATTATTTCTGATACCAGTCAGCTTCAGGTTCAGTTTGATAAAGGTTTCACAAGCAACAGGTTTGAGTTATGCATGTCATATTTATAATGACCATTTGGTTAAACAGTTTATGTAGAAAGTGAACTTCATCACCTCAAATGTAGTTTCTTGAAAGGTAAATTAACTGAGTAATACCTTATTACTTCAAAGGAACTTTTATGACTATTTAGGATGTTTAGATTATTACTTTACCAGTCATGGATGTGAGATTTGTAAATTCCATGGATAACAGTTTTGAACATTTAATTTTTTCATTGAATGCATTAAAAAAAAAAAAAAATCTAGAATCAAATCTGATTGTTAATGAATAGATGAATAGTAAATGTACAAAAAAAATCATGGAAAGAGGAATCCTTTACAGGTGAATAGTGAGCGGAGAGAGAGAAATTGTAGCAGAATAGATGGATAACAAAAGTTTGTACTCTGCTACAGGAATGAGACCTTTGTCCAAGGAAATCCAAAGAATGTTCTGACAACAGAAGTCTTCATAGCCTTCCTTAGGTTTGAATTGTTAATCAGTTCCCATGAAATTATAGTTACAAGTTCTCTCTTTGGTGATAATGTTTTGAATGTTTTTTTGTTTTTTTTCCAATTAAATCATGGTTAAAGATTGAATGCTGGAAGAAAATCTATTTCATAATGCATGGCATTTACTGTACTTTTTGGTCAGTTTGATGCAGTTAGATAATCATAGTTATTTGGGTTTTGTTCTGTGACAGCGTCAAACAGAACTGATGAAGGAGCAAAGTTGGAAATGGGAAGTTGTTTGTTTGTCTGTTTGGCAAGAGAAAGATGTGGCTGATGCTTTAATACTTTTCTGATTTTATTCGTTGTGGGAATTAAGGCAAAGAGACATTCTTGTTGTTGGAGTCAGTAGTTCAGTATATTGCAAGACTCCTTGTTCACAAATTGGCACCGACTCCTGAGCTTAGGAAATTGGGGTGACTTGGTGAAGGGCACAAAGATACTAATTACTCCAGTTCTGTTCATAAAGGAAAATTTGTCCCCTGCTTTCACTATTCTAACATAAAAAAGTAGCTTTAAAATGAAAGTAAATGTATGGATCTAGGTATCAGTACTGGCAGAGGAGTGTACACTGTTGGAGTGCAAGTGATATTAGGACTGGCACTGCCCTGCACTTTGGTATTGGTGCCTCTCGTTAACCCCTTCGATCCGGTTGCTTCACTGCAGTCGTGCGGCGCAAAATCCTGACATTAGGCTCACATGAGCGGCTGCAATGCGGGTGTGTGGCTTGCAGGCTGGGTGCACACAGACACTAGCATTATTGTGTGCTGACAAGACTCTGTGCCTCCTGTTTGCAAAGTTATTTCCTCTTTTTATGCATAAGAGTTTTTTGCTTTTTTGCCATTTTCTAAAGTCCATATTTGTCATTTGATTTGCATTATCCATTCTTGTTTTCACTCACTCCATATCATCTCATAAGGTAGTCTATAACTCAATGTAAAAAAAGAAAAAAAAGGAAAAAAAAAAATTGCCCCCCCCCCCCCTATTCAATTTACTGTAACCCGACCTGCGCTGCTGGTCACGGCAGAATAAGATGCTGAGCATAAAAATGGCATCCTCCATGAAACTGGTGCTCTTCCAGTCATGGCTCACGGATCTACATTCCGCACTTGTCTATTGATGGGAATGTTGCAAAATTGCTAAAGGAGTCTAATCACCCTCCCAAGAGGTTAGTGGCGAGTCTTTCCCGCTTCCCACCCCAGCCTTCAGCCAAAACGCTCACGGTAGCAAGTTTGCGTCACCCAGTCCACAGCCAGATTTTCCCCCCGATGGCATGCTCACCCCCCCTCCCCCCCAGTTCCAGATTTTGTCATGATGTGATGGCCATGTCATCCGGGTCATAGGGGTTAATTTGTCATTTAAGATGCCTTTTGCTAGGCAGGTTAATGGCAGATTTTAATTAGCTTAATTATCTGTTAGCCTTATTTACTGATTTCTTCCATGTATGTATATATAGGTAGAAATATTTCTACACACATGCACTTATATTATCTATATTGACTTCTACATACACATAGATACAAATGAGTAGAAAGACTTCCATGCCAGTAAGTGTTGCAAAGACAGCTCAAAGGATTGTGTCCTTAACTGTCCTGCCTTTTGAGCAGAAGAGGAGCACCAAGTGTCCTCTCAGATGTTCTTTCCACCTGTCTTACTCCCCTTCTTTTGTCCCCAGACCGCTGCCTCCACTACCACAGCGACAAGAACCTAAATCTTCTGCGATCGCTGCTAGGGAGAGGTGTGTGTGTGTGTGTGAGGAATTACACTTTATAGTGCACATTTTCAAGTCACGGATGGATGGCTTTGCCTCCCTCAGTAACATTGGCTGAATGTCAATATGGAAACCAGGTTCTCACCTTCACTTGAAAAACACAGGAAGTCCTGTGAAATGGGCTTCAGTAACATTAACCTTTTCTTTAAAGCAGGAAACAACAGTTCTTTCTGATAGAAATGCAGTGTGATTGGGTGAAATATAGTTTAGGCTTCTAGTGGTGTAAGTGTCTGTAGTCGCAAAGATTCTTTGCTTGCCCTCTTCTCTTCCTCTTCCCTCCCTTCCCCCTCCGCATTTGCATATTCTTGTTCCCCCTTTGCTATGTAAAAGACATTCAATTTTAGGATCAGATGTATTGGCATTAGCAGCTGTCAGAAGAGTTTGATTCTAGCCATGGTTCAAGCTGTCTGCTGTTTAATGTGAAGTCACCTTGGGACCTTAAATTTTTTTCTGCTGTGACCTTGAACAGTGAAAGTAAGGAAGGAATTTCAAACCTGACAGTGAATAAATGAGTGATTGAATGAAATAATTATCTGGCTGATACATAAAGCCAAACGGATGAAGAGAGGAATAGTAGACTCAAGAACATGGCGAAGGTGCTCCACATAATGGTTTGTGTTGCAGTGATGCCAGGGCACAAACCCTTTATGCAACTGGTGTTTTATTTCAGACTCTCATGGATTCTCCTTCCACTGCGTCATTTAGCCACTTGCCATTGGATGCTGCGAAAACCACCTGTACTATCCCATTGTCTAAATATCAGTTTATTAAAGAGTGAAAGTGTACCCTATGTCACCTGGGAAAGGTTGAGAAAATATACAAAGAGAAGGGAGCTTTTATGCTGAAGAAATAAAGGTATTTGAACCAGAAGGAATCCTCACAGCACATTGAGAATGGAGGTAGAGCATTTTTGACGTGTCTTACTAATTCATATGTCCTTTTACTCTCCACATTTATTAATTAACTTGACCATTCTCTCTCTCTCTCTCTCTCTCTCTCTTTTCCATCCTTTCCTGCTCTCTCTCTCCTGATCTCTCTCCCTTTCCCTCTCCATCTCCTTCCCCCTCGTCCTTCCACTCCTCCTCTCATTCCCTCTCCCTCCCCTTCCGTCCCTTCTTCCTTGCTGGCCCTCTCCTTGAGGGGCTCTGGTGATGCCGGGTGCTATGTAGTGTCCCTGCCTTAAGCTGCGCCTTCTTCTCTCCCTCGCTCAGACCTCAGCCTCCTCCTCCGCTGCAGCGACAGGAGCCTAAGCCTTCAAAGATGCCGCCAAGGGAGAGGTCAGTTCTCGTTGCTTGCTCTAGGGCTTGCTTGCTTTCTTGGTCACCTGCCTTACTTTTATGTGAAGGGAATCTTTAAAACGGTGATTTTTTATTTTTTTATTTATTTATTTTTTGAACCCCTTTGACTTTTTAACCTTTAAAGGACGTGCCCCCCACATCATCTGAGCCATTACGCACATCAATGCACTAGATGATATATCTGTTCAATTTTCCAACCCACAGAGTTACATTCTTACAATCCTCAGATCATAGTCTATATTACGTGACTTGAAAACACCACTGTCATTTCGCAGTGTCCTGTACGAGTACTAATTGACTTCGTTCTGCTTCCTCATTGAATATGTGTAACTTGGATGCACTTACTTTTAGGGTTAGCATACATGTAGCAAGAAATATTGCTATATCTAATTGGTATCTAGTGCAACACACCTCCTTTGTTTTTGTCTTTACTGATATAAAAAGGTTCATGATTGTGGTTATTGTAGGTTCTGTTATATGTTTTTTTTTTCTTTTCTTTTCTTTTTTCTTTTTCTTTTTCTTTTTAATTGAGATGGATATCCTTTATGAAAATCTTATATATCTTATTTCTTTGTTCATATACTGTCAGTGTTCTAAAAGTATCTCTAAGTCTACTGCTGACTGTAGAAAAAAGTACATTCTCTGCTTGAAAAGTCACCTTGTGAAATAGCTGTTTCCTTTATATGTATATTTGTTCTTCATCGTCTTCATTATATCTTCCATCTTTTTTATCCATTTATCCATCTATTACACAACATGAAAGGTTCTGGAAAATTATATTTAAGTATAGTGTGCCAGAGATAAGTTGCAATCTATCACTGATCAACAGTGGCATATCTCAGGACTTAAATTGGAAGGGATGCAGCCCTTTTCTTTGCTGAAAGATTGACCAATGGGGCAGGTGTCTGCCTTAGTAGTATTTTTTATATATATACTTTTTTTTTTCATTTCTCTCTCTCTCTTTCTCTTTCCCTCCCTCCATCCCCCTCTCCCTCTCTCTTCCTTCCCAGCTGTTGATGTTACTGTTAATACATCCACCTCTTCCATTATGTCAAGTTCTTGTCTCTGTGTAGAGGGTAAAGTGGTCATTATCTGCCGCAGAGTCGACCGGTTTGGCCGCATCCGGAAGGACAGCAACCAGAGCTACTCCAGATCCCGGTCACGATCAGGGTCACGGCCAAGAGGAAGGTGGGCAGCGGTCTTTCATTTCTCGGCTGATTGATTTGATTGTTGTATTTTCATATAATGTTTTATACCTCAATATATTATCTTCATAGATTTGTGATTTTTACATGCAATAAAAACCAAGATGGTAAAGTTTCATTTTGGGCAAAAAGATTGAATTCTTTATGTTATATTTATAGAAATTATGAATTCCATTACATTTATAAAGTTAATATATCAATATGTGCATTTTTGCAGCTTCTAATCCACATTGTAAGCAAAGTATTGAGCCAAATGTCCTTGTTCCTTTCTTTTCACACAGACCTGGAAGAACGTTCTCGTCCAGTCGCTCCAGGTCTCGGTCAGGCTCGCGATCCAGCTCAGCCTCGTCAAGGTCCGTCTCGAGAGGGCGCTCCATTTCAAGGTCAAGGTCGCGTTCAAGGTCCAGCTTCTCCCGCAGCAGCTCTGCCTCCAGTGTGGGGAGCAGGCGTAGAGGTCAGTCGTCCGTCCTGCTCCTTGCATTTTACTTTGTTGGTTTCTTCAGGCTCTTGAAATCCCTGGATTTTTCTTCCCATTCCCTTTGTCATACCTGCGCATCCATCACCATGAATACGTCTCTCTTTCTCTAACGACCGTCCTTCTCCCATCGGCAACAGGAGAGAAGAGGAGGATGACCCAAGGGACGGTGTCGTACGGCCAGGCCAAGAGCAAGGCCATGGACCCCATGAAGGTATTTCTCTTTCTCTCTCTGGATTTTAGTGAGTTTTGTTGACAGCCTCTAAAGAGTCTTCTTAGTTTTGTCTTCTTTCCTTTGTTATGGTAAATTCCACAAGTGAATATCAGAAAGTATGGAATCAGAAAATGTCAGGTGGCTTTGTTACAAGAAGGTACATTCTTAATCCTTTGGCTGCATTAGGCAGTTGTGGCCTCAGTAATAAACTGTTATTCACGATGCACTAGGCAGTGCAGTCCGTGGCTGTAGAAAAACCAGTGTTCCCGCAGAGGTTCTATATATCCTCAAGCCCGATTTGCCCAGCTGCTGCCACCAACTGCATTCAGAGGCAGAACTGTCCAGAAAGGCAGGAAAATTATTTACTGATGACAAGGAAATTGGCTCATAATGCATCTCCTTGCACAATAAAAGAACAGATTCTTGTGAAAGATAAGTTGGTTCTCAAGCATCCTTTTGCTTATGAAAAGTGTTTCAGTAAACCATTTTTAAGCCTACTTGGTCTGGAGGCAAAGATAAACAATAACAAAAGTATTTTTATATTTTTTTGAGAGGAATGGCAGTGGAATCGTAGGCAGGTGTCAGATGGTTCATTTCAGTACGTTAAGAGTTAGACTTGTTTACAACACATTTTGCTTCAAAATGCCTGTATCTCTGCATCATAGATAAATAGATAGTCAGAATAAGGAAACTTCCATAAGTTCTCACTTCGTGCACCCTTTTGTAGCTTTGCACTATTTACAATAGAACACGGTGATGCTAGGTAGCACATATAGAAGGCAAGGTGAAGGTCGGCCCAAATGCTATATGGTAGCTATTCTTGCTATGATAGTTGAGACTGCTTTCTGTTGTGTGTGTAGGTGTAGTTCTATTACCTCAACAGTGCAAATTTTCAAGCTAAAGCATTTTACAAATGGCCCTAGCTTCTTAGTGCTTTCATTGAAAAACACTTTTATGCATATCCAGAAAAAAAGGGGTGTGTATAGAAAACCTTCCTTGCACTTCAAATGTGGTGCTACCCTAAGTGCAGTGGGAAGTGTGCCCAGATTTCTCCCTGACACCAGTGGGTAGAAATGACATGAGTAGAGAGCTCAATCCCTGTTGTCAACAAAGTGGCTCGTATCTGAATGGATTCCCTCCACTTTCAGCTCTCAGGACAGAAGCAGCAGATCAAGCTGACGCTGAAGGGGTCGGCCATGAGGCGCCTGGATAAGCCGGTGCTGCCCCAGGAAGACGACAGTAAGTGCGGCTGCAACTCCAGGTGGTGAGCCAAAGAAGGATATTGAGAATAATGGGTCTACATGTTTTTTTGTTCTCATGTGATCAAGATTTCAAAAAGCATTTTGCATTCCAGGCGGCGAGTCGGACACGGACGGAAAGGTCATCCGCAAGCGCAAGCCCGAGAGCCCGCCCCCAGAGCCACCCCCACAGAAGGTAAGCTTTGCATTTCATTCTTTGGGGTTTGGAAAAAGTCACCCTTTAATTGTTCCTCATTTAGTTATGGGGGCTAGTGGAGGTTCACACATACTGTTCAACTACTGTTGGTAAATGGTATGTTGCCATTTATTCTAAAGTACTTGTATAGTGGGCAGTATGTATCTATGTTTTCATCTTTTTATATTCTTCTTTGTGAATTGTGTAACTTGGCACCCAGTGACATTTCCCTCCGCCTTTTGCCACTCGCAGGTCGTGGTACGTAGCCCCCCGGCCCCCATGCCTGCTGCCCCCCCGCAGGCCAAGAAGCCCCAAGCCAATCGAAGGGAGGAACTACTCAAACAGCTCCGTGCGGTTGAAGATGCAATCGCTCGGAAAAGAACAAAATTGCCAACCTAGTATTTTTAGGTAAGGACAAAGAAAAAACAACAACATTGCTTTGTGTGTCTGGTCTAGTCTAAGGTATATTTTTATTAGAAGATTACAAGCATTAATTCCTTAGAAGAATCAAAACATTACCAATAATTTGACATTAACAACTTCATTTATGGTTATAAGTAAATGTATATATATGTATACCTGGTCTAACCATCTGTCTTTTCTCTCTGCAGGTACATGTTAATTATCATGTAAGGTAAGCAGAAATAAGACCTTATTTATAGTGCGTGACTTGGAGCGAGTGCAGTGCTCCAGGCGAGAGGCCGAGGGGAGAGCAGCACAAGGACGGGGCTTCACTCAGGGCTGCCCTGGCCGACCGCAAGCCCAGCTCAAGGTACCAGACTCTGCAATCTGCGCTCAGGGAAGCAGAACGGGGGCAGGGTGGCCGTCTAGTGCCTGCGTCATCATTGGCTGGCCCAGATAGCTTCTCCCTCGCCCCCTCCCTACCTCCTTTGCTCTCTCCCCTTCCTCCCTGCTCTTATGCGCTTGGAGTGGAACTTGTGGCTCAGAAAAAGAGGAGCAGCTCAGCCCAGAGAAGAAAAGGATGAGGAAGAGGTGACCGTTTTGTTGCATAATCTGTGGAAAAGGTGGAATGAAAATAAGGAAAATGGACGGTGATTACACTTCAGTGGCAGAGAAGTGACAGCTATAGCAATCTGTGTCTTTGGAAAGTGAAATGAATTGCAGATGCTTGCAAAGCAGATTTTTTCTATTCTTATCTTTTCTTTTGTTTCCCAACAATTTGTATATGTGATTTTTTATTTTTGTTTCTAATTTATACCATTTCCAATTAGGGAGCCGGGAGTTGATATCTTTTCCAAGGTTTATACAACTTCTACATTCTCGCTCATGTTGTGTTCCCTCATGTATATAAGTAGGCCTAGCCATAAAGACTGGAACATTTATTGCATTTTGAATTTCTCCTGTTGCTGGTAAATACAGTGAATATGGATTTTATAAGAGAAATTGTTGCTGCAATTTAGCAAGTTACCAGAAATATGGATTCTGCTGCAGAACATCATGACGCTTTCGGTTGATTCTCCCCGTGAATCAAGTGTCGGGAGGAGCCCAGATGGTGGAGGCATTACTGTGCAATTTGATCACACTTATTGTTGCAAAATGTAATGAGTTTGAAGTTGCCTTGTCTGTTTGGCCCAGAGAGAGACAAGCAAGAGTTCCTTGGAGAAAGGCTTTTCAAAATGTGCTTGATGGCCTTCGTACATGCATGGGCCTTTATTACGATTGTAATTAATACTATATATACTGTCATAATTATTGTTCCTGTTTTATTTTTTTCACTTTTATTAGTATTATATATCTATATTTATTGACTGACTAGAATGCAGAGTACTTCAGTATCCAGATAGCAATACTAAACAATTACTGAAAGCTGTACTAAGTTGAGTATTTTTTGAAGTCTCCAAGGAAATATGTATGTAAAAAAAAAATATATATGTGCATATGGAGAACCTGCAGTTTGTTATTCAAACCAGAAATATGAGTATTACAGTGTTGCTCAAAGGTGTGCAGGAATTTGTTTTATATTTCTCCCAGTTTGCAACTTTTTCATCCTCCTCCTATCCTAACCCTCTGTTTGAGTCTTTCTATGTCTCTTCTCACCTCCTCCTCTACATTTTTCATCTTCCTCCATCTTCTTCTTCCCATTCTCTTCCTTCCTTGCTCCTAATTTGTAGGAATAAAACTTCATGAAAGGTTTCACAAAGCCCATGTCTGCCAGGACGTGACATTCATCAACCTGATCATTTCCCACACTTCTTTGGAGAGAGTCCGACGTGCAGTTGAGGGAGATCTTACGGTTTTGCTCTTGCTTTTGATTGACCAGTTGTAGATGTGCTTGAAAGTTGTTTATTATCTGTTAATTTTAGTAACCCTTTTTTGAAATAAAAAGATAAAGAGTTTTTCTTGAGCTGTTGGTTTCCGCTGCATTTTAACAAACCCTCTGGTTTCCAGGAGTGTGAATGTGGCATCTTCAGAATGCACTGTCTGATGAAGAGATGGTGTTAACAGGGCAATAGGCCTTGGCTGTAAAAGTGTGTATTATCTGTAAAATCTTCCTTTGTTGTATGACTTTAAGTATTTTCATGTGAACTCAAACATTATAAATGCTTGAATCCTACATATGTGACAGTTGAAAGTTAAGTATGGATATTTTATTTCCGTCATAATGTTACTGGTGTTTTCGTTTTGATGTGTCATAATAGAAAGGAATGTTCTCTACACGTCACAAAGAAAGAATGAATTCATGAAGTTTCTGACCGTATAATCAGCTTGGTCTGGAAACACCTGTTTGCACGAGTGAGTAACAGGCAATACATGGGTTTGTTTTCTCACGGGAAAATTCCCAAATAGAAAGTAGAACATTAATGGACGAGCCACAACAGTCATATCAACTATTGAAGTTGTAAAAATCCAATGGTAATGTAAAATTTGTAGGATACTCCAATAGTATTTACTTCTTTACAGATTCTTTTTGGATATAATTACAAAATTGCTGTTTGTTTTGTGACATGATATCGTAAGAGCAGCCTTGTGTGTCCTCCCTTCCCCTGCATCATATTCACACGAAGGCGAGCGCTGCTGCTGCTCTCGGCTACCTGCACGAGTGCGGCGAGCATGCGCGCCAGCGGAAGTACCAAGGTGTCTCCCACGCTGAGAGGAATCATGACTTGTATACATATTTCTAGCTGAGAGTATGTAGTCACTATCATAATCCATAGTCATCAAGTTATTACCTATTGCAGCTCCAGAGTTGTATGTGTTTCTGCTCTCCATGGCAGAGCACTTGTCAGAGACGTTCAAAACCTACAATAAAATCTAATTTCTGTATTTCATATGGCAGTAAAAAGTTTCCAGTGGAAATAAACCCGTGTTTCATTTCCAAATAAGATTTCCATTCTTCGCACGACGCATTTATGCCGCTCCGGACTTCCAGCAGTCAGACTAGTTACTAATAAAACTTCCTATTTGTATACACTACTACCGACTTCATTGGATCAATTTATATTCTGGCGTTAAAAGAAGACTGCAGCAAATGAATACCAAAAAGGGGTCCAGGGGATTCATGTCAGCAATGGGGAGGTGTAAATGAGTTAGTTAAAAGACTTAGGTGGTCTCAAGTAATTTCCCAAGGAGAGATCAAGGTCAGCGTGGTTTCACAGCGAAATGGGATTACTGCCAATGCAACTGAAGCCACAACTTGTATCATCTTTTTAACTATCCAACCCTTTGTACTTTTATGATCTGCGGCCTGACAAAATATACTCGATTGACCTGAAACACGTCCCCTAAGACAAATCTTACAAGAGCCGGCTTGGACAACAATAGCACAAAACCTGGCCCTATCAAATATTAAACTCTAAACGTGCATAATACAACCCGAGAGACAATAATGGCATTTCTTTGCGTTTCCCTTTGATAAGTAGAGTTTTTGGCGGACATGAACTGAAATGAAAAGGTAAGTGAAATGCGAGACCTTCGGTTGCAGGTCCCTTCGAAATGCGAGTGAGAGTGACGTCTTTCTCCCGTTGGATAAGCACAGGTCCAGACGGAAAAGGCGATGTCAAGGCGATAATGGAACATGTTCTCTTCTTCGTGTGCCTTTGCTTTATGGAAATAAGAAGCCTTTTGCAAACTTAGCTTTATTATCTTTTCCTTACAATTCATGTTATTAGCCTAGCATTTTTTCCGAATCAATTACCGATAAGACAATACATTAGAATGGCAGCAGACAAGAAATCATTCTTTCGATGGCTTAAATGACAAGCGTCTGTGTATTAGCAAGAGCTTCCTTGTCGCTATTTTCATGGACAGTTTACCACAGTTTGAAGAACACGGGCGATGCACGCAGCAGCAGCCCTTCCTTACAGCAAAATCGGAATAAAAAATCGTCTGAGAATCGCCTCGTGGCCAGGACGGCGATCTTACTGCGGGACGGCGGCAGCGAGCTGGGCGGCGCTCCAGGCGGAGGCTGAACGCAGGACGCGGCTCAGCTCGGCCGCCGAATCTCTCTTGGTGAAAGTCTGCTGGTTCCACACGAAGAAGCCGTCGATGTTGCTGCTCTGCAGCTCCGTGGCCGTCCTGAGCAGGAGGATCTTGGAGCCCTGCCCTGCGGCGCGAGGAGAGGAAGGCATTGTGATCAGTGGAGAAACAGTTAGTAACCAAAATGATTCATATTTTTAAAGTCACA